ATGCGTAAATTTTAAAATCAAGTTCAAGATGGTATGTGCAAACCGTGGGTCTGTAAGTCGTGTTTCTGAGCTTGTGGAGGCTTGCAAATGATTGGGCCACGTTCTGGAGATGTCCAGGAGTCGATTGGCAGCCTTGTAATGCTTTGAATCGTCCTCTATGTTTGAAACTGATCCACACTTTTGATTTAAAAATTTGAATTTTGTTTGATGCCTTGCACAACCTCAATCCTTTTCTTGCGCATTGGTTATGTTCTGCATATATAGTGTGACAAATTAGGGCAACAAAAATGCTTTCTATCTTTGATAATCATGGAGATTTAATTTGATTATCCTCTTGTATAATATGTTTCCAAAATAGGTGTAATCATGCCAATTTTCTCCAATTATCCCTTGATCTGATTTGATATGGATTGGTCAGCTTGATTAGATTGTGATTCCTATAAAAATCAGATCAAACCCAATCTTTTATATTTTTTTGCAATTTATTTGATTTAATCTAACTTTTAATAAATAAAAAATCAAAATAAAATAAATAAATAATCAAATAATACGTGGAGGCTGATTTGGGGCGTGGACCATGTTTCCAACAAGCTTCAATCATGAAATGCTAGGCCCATTTGACAAAAAAATGTATTTTTGAGCATATTTGACTTTTGGCAATTTTGCAAAAATGGTCAACTTTGACAAGGAATATCTCCTCCAATTTTAACCCTAGAGGGGTATTCTTTGACTTTTTAGAAAGCTTAGGATGTCCACTAAACTACCCTTTTGGTTTCATCTCAATTGCGTCTTCCATGTTCATGTAAGAAGCTTTGACCCAAAAGGTGTTTTTGTTGACTTTTCAAAAGGACCTATAATGTAGAAATTCATATCTTTTGATGAGTGCATATTTTGAACTCGAGGGATGAAGATGAATTTTAGGGAATTGCATCCTCTTAAAATGAGCCTTGGATGGAAAATTTCTGATAAAGTATGAAGAAGTTATGCTTGGTCAAAGTTTGGTTGACTTTTCCTGAGAAACCCTAATTTAGCAACCTTTGGGTTTTAATGAATTTGGGGCATTCCTTGGGTAATCATGATCAAACCTTGATCAAATGATTCAAAATGTTGATTTTGACCAAAATCTTGAAGTTTGACTGTATGTGGGCCACAATTGACTTTTGACCTAGTACAATTGATTTTCAGGCATCTGGGCAATTGACTGAGCAAACTTCTTGTGCAAGGCATGAAACTTGACATGGGTGATCTTGAGAACATATTGGGACCATGGAAGGCATTTGGGACCCTTGGACTTCAACCATCTTGATGAGGAGTGAAACCCTAGTTTGAAGCTTGTTGCCTTAGGAGGAGGATTTGTCTGGTCAATCCTTAGTCATCCTTGAGCAATTGAGGACCTCTAGAGGCATGTCTTGAGTGAAATGAGAGGGCAAATTTTGGGGTGCAATAGGAATGAAAGCAAATAAATCCTAATTTACTATTACAACCATATTGAATGAATAAATAATGTACAAGAATGTAAAGATAAATAAATAAAATAAAATAAAATTGTTAAAAAAACTTTTATGTATTGACACATATACTTATGTATAGATACGAAAAAAATTTATGCATTGGCTCATATCTGTTTTGTATGGGCTCATATCTGTTTTGTATTGGCTCATATCTGTTTTGTATTGGCTCATATCTATTTCGTATTGGCTCATATCTGTTTCGTATTAGCTCATATCTGTTTTGTATCGACACACACACTTATGCATCGACACATATCATTTCTTGCTCTTGGAAAATGAAAATTAACTCAATATGAGTCGACGCATTCGCATTTCGTATCGACTTATACAAAAGTTCGTATCGATGCGTAATGGTTTGCATTGGCTCATAACATGTTTTAAACATAATATGTGTCGACTCATAGTGTTTAGTATCAACTCATACTGCTGTTTTTTGCCTCTAACATTGTTCTGATGCATATATGAGTCAATTCTCAACACATGGTCAGTAAAAATGAAAAGCAAGCATATGGTTAGCTTTAAGGGCTATAATATTTATATTTTATCTTCACAAATGGACCACTAATGATGCTTGTATGAAGATTCCAAAGTTAATAAAATAGTGATGTTACAAAAGTTGTTCTTGAGTTTGAACAACTTCTACATGATGTATGCAGAGTGTTTGAATGGTTTGTTTGGACATAACTTGCAAGGTGTGAGAGGTTCAAAGATTTGGGATTCAAAACTCAAGAGTGGAGATTTTATGGACAGTTTTGGTTTTTTGAGAGTATGAGGGGGTTTTGAGAATTTTTCAACATACAAGAATCTCTCTATAATTTTGACCTCTTTCTCTTGCAAATGCTCCCTCTATTTATACACAAGAGGTTTATGACAAGGGCTGATTAGGTTTGCAAGACAACATGTTATAGTTTGGCTGGGATGCAAATATCAAACTATGTCAAGTATTCCATGGTCCCAAGATGAAGTACCAAAGTTGCTGGTATAGAGGAGCTACCTTCCATGATTTATGGTGGAGCATAATCAGAAGTAAACAAGGTATGGGCTTAAGACAAATTTTGTACCAAAAGCTTGCTTTTCAAGAATAGTAATGGTGCCTTTATGCCATAAATGGAAAGATCTTTTGGATAATGGCTCAAACACTTGGGTAATAGCTCAAGAGTAGGTGTAAGCATTAAATTATGGTGAGATTGGCAAGTTAGAAGGCCTGCAACACAATATTATGCAGCATAGCATAAGGATTTCATTATGTGTTCTTCAACAAAAGGACTTGCAATTCAAGGATGGATTCTCAACTTCATGCCCTTGAATCTCCTAGCTCAAGTATGATAAATTCATGCTCTTAGATGTTTTGGAAAGGTTAAAACATCCACTATAACTTTCGTGTTGGCCATTTTGACAAAATCATCTTGGAACTATGTGAAAAAATGCCAAGAAGTTGGATAAAATCCTGACCAAAATCTGTTGAAAATTTCTCTAAGTGTTAGATGAAAATGTCATGACTTCAGGAATTTATAACTCAAAATCCAAGCACTTATAGGACTTGGTCAGTAAAGCAATGTTGTAGATCTCATCAATATCTACAACTTTCATGTTGAAAGTTTTCTTTGAATCGTCTTGCATCTTGGTGAAAGAATGTCATGAAGTAGTGAAATTATCATGTACAAAACACTTAGGAAAATAAGATTGTGCACGTTCGGGCCCTACCTCGATGCCTACGTATCCCTTTTAAGGAATCAGAGCAGCCGTAGTTCGGCTTATGCTTTTGTTGATTTGTATTTTTTTTATGAACAATATTAATTTCGCCTTCTGCCGCAACTCGACCTTCGGAGACTTACGTGTCAGCACAGAAGTGAATTAACATGCTCTCTTAAAAAGGTTTGAAGAAAATGTGCCTGGGCACCCAAAAAGTTTGAATTTGTTTGTTTTTTGTAATGGACAATATTAATTTCGCCTTCTGCCGCAACTTGACCTTTGGAGACTTACGCGTCAGCACATGAGTGAATTAACTTGTTCTTTTGAAAAGGTTTTGAAAGAACGGCCCGAAGGCAAAAAGAATTTTATGTTTGTTGGTGCTTTTGTTTTGCTTGTAGAGAATAACTAGTTAATCTCAAGGGAGAGATATTATCCATTTTTCTACTTAGTCATGAAAGGAGTCTTTGAGAATTGAACCACACCTAGGCTTGAGATGAAGAACACTAAGATCGAGAAGAGACCCGCTTATCATTTCTCGTACTAAGAAAAGGCATGATTCTCATCAATAGATTTAAAGTGTTTTGAATTTTTGAAAAGAAAAAGAAGTTTTTGTTTTAAATGCGAATGCAAAAGGGAAAGAAAAGTTAAAAAGAGACTAGCCTATTTCTAAACCTAATTTTATCGTGCGTTAGTAGCCCTATGGTTTGGATGAATGGAAAGGAAACATCTACCTAATGTAAGCATGCATATGGTTTACTGTAAAGTACAGAAATGAAGAATAAAATAGAGTTGCGACGATACCGAACGGAGAAAGTCCGTTGCTTCTTCAAAACTGTGCAAGTGATAAGAAAACTCTATAGAAGCCTCCTTGAATTCCTTGATGAAAACTATGCTCTTAGCTAGCTTTGAAACTTCATGAAACTCCTCACTCAAGTCTCTTTTATTTCAAAATCTCACACAAAATTGGCATTAAAATCTACCAAAAACATGGATAAAATAACAAACAAAGTTAATAAAAGAAGTAAAGTTCTATTAATATTTTTTGAATTTTTATCATGTGAGCAATTAAGGAAAAAACCATGTAGAAATATCACACAAAATTATTTAAGAAATAATAGAAAGTATTCAGGGGGTATAGAGTTTTTTTCCAGAGGTATACTGAAGCAACCCAGGCGCAGGCCCAACATTCCAGGCCCAATTGGCAATTTTGGCAATTTTTTTGTATGAAGAAATTGGGCTAAAAAATGCTCAGGCCCAGTAGCAATTTTTTGTGAAGCAATATGGCCAAAAAATGTCTAGCCCAAGGTGTATGGTCCGGTCCAAAAGGGGAATTAGGGTTACAGCATTGTGATTTTTCATCTTCACAAATTCTTCTTCCTTACTCTCTCACCGGCGGCGCGACTTTTCTCACCCTTACCTTCTTCACTTATCTCCTCCCAAGCGTCGAGAGAAGATTTATGCAACCTGTCAACGAGGAGGCCAATCGCTTGGCATAGCCAAGGAAACATGTCTTCTTCGGATTCCGCCTTGAATGAATGAAGGAGAGGCTTTTTGAGTTCATTCAAGATAGAGCGATTCAGGGGATTCTTTTCCGATTTCGGTCTCAATCACCCTCGACCTCATTCCTCATATGTTGGAGTCGCCCTGGCGGCTTTTCGATCACAATGACAAAGAGAGAACTAGAATTTAAGAAATCCAGGTAAGATTTGATTCACACCTTCTTCCTTCTGTTTATGATTTCCTCTTCGCGTTTGTGCGATGCTGAATTTGTTTGTTCATTTTTGTTGATTTCTATTAATGAGCGAATTTGTTGTGATGTTGCAGATTCGACGAAGTCATTGCGAGGAAGACGGTGAATCGATGCATAGAGGATTTGAGGAAGCCGTAATGGTGATGGTGATGAAGGATGAAGGTTGAGGGTTTGTTGAAGTTTCAGTGGTGTTGATTAAAGTGGTGGTGGACGATGTGCGATGAGGATGATAAAAGAGAGCGAAGTTAGGGTGTTGTAGTTCTGGCTTGAACGTGATTCCGTGATGAATGATCAAGCCTGTAAAGTGTTGAGAGTGAAGGAGAGAAAACGATTGAAGATGGAGAAAAGATAGAAATCTTGTTCTGTGATTTTGATGATTCTACCAAATATTTCCAGATTCTCCAATTGGTGAGTTTCTTGAGACTTTTCTCTGTGTTGAAATACTGTAATGAATCTGACTGAATGATGATATCCTCTTCCCCTCTGAATTTCTTCTCTCAATTTGTCTCCCTCTACTCCAGTTCTTCCCGGATTCAACATCCTTGCAATTCCGGTTCATCCTCGAATGCTCATGTCTCATTCACAGCCACAAAGCCGAAGAAAAAAAAGGAAGAATATACGTGAAGAAGTTGATAGTGAAAGATCTTACTGAATGGAGAACACCCGGCAGCTCTCCGACGCCATACGAGGAAACCAGGGGTAAATCAGGTAATCGACATTATTTCTGTGATTCACTTCTTTTTCGGTAATTCTTCTTTGTGTCTTCTGTGAATCTGAACTTTGATGTGCGTTGAAATTATTCTGGATTTGGATTATTGCGATGATGCTGAGATGAAGGATAATCGTTGATGTGTGAAGAATGTTGAAAGTCACTACATATTGGAGAAGGTGATGGAGCATGATGATGATGGATATTGAATATTTGATGAAGATGATGCAAGATTGCTGAAATTGAAGAATGAAGGCTGGATTCTGAAAAATGAAGAGTGAAGAGAGAAGATGAAGATGAAGGGGAGGGAAGAAGGAAGAGGTTTATGGAGATTCTTTTTGAAATTCCTCAATCAATATGAATTGGTAAGTTTCTTTTGTAGTCTTTCTCTGAATAAAAATAACAATGCATCTCTGTGTGTGAATTGATGAAAAATTGACAATGATCCTCTATCCCTCTTTCTCTTATATCGGTTGTATGGATTATTCGGGGTGGTTCAAAACAGTTAGAAAGTTAGTTATTCTGTTATCACAGTTTGGAGGTTGGTTAGAGGAAGTTATGAATCTGTTAGGTGGTTAGGAGAATTCTGTTAGGATGCAGTTAGAAAATTCATTGCAGGGCTGTTATGAAAAACTTGGTTTGACAGTTAGGAAATTGTTTTCTGTTGGTAACTACCAGTGAAATTTTTGATAACAGTTAGTTATACTAGATGGGCTGACCTTAGATTTGAATGAAATTGAAAGTTATTTACTTAATTATTTTGGTTTCTTTTTCTAAGCCAATTTTGTTAATTGATACAGGGCTGAACTGGTTGCTTTTGTATTGGATTTATTTGAGCTTTGTAGTGACCTGGTGCAAGCATCTCTAAAGCCTCCAGCCTCTTCTACTGACTTCAAAAGCAGATCCAGTTCTTTGGTCATCTCATTAATATTGCCAAACTGCTTTGACGAATCAGAACTTGAAATCCCAGGCTTGGAGGAATTTACATGCTGCTCATCAGAAGGATGAAACTTTCGCATAGATGACTTTCAGTTGTAGAATTTCCGAGTAATGACAAATGTGAACTTTCTGTTCCTACAGAAGTTAGTTGTCCACCACTCTGAACAGGCCTACTGGCAGAGTAGACGCCAGGAGATTCAACATTCACATCCTTTACAAGAAAAGGCTTTCCATCAGTGCTACCAGGAATGTTTGGAGTGTTGGCATTTTGCACTTGTGTTATTTTGGAATGAATCACTAATAAAGTTTATAACTTGAATGAACCTTTAATGTTTGAAAACCTTTGATCTTGAATGAAGCAGTTTGGGTAATGAATGATGAAGCCATGACTTGTTTCTTAATAAAATGCGGTAACTTTGAACGAATATACAATGATAGTAATGAAACTTGCTTTTCATTTGAACCTTTGATTCCACATATGCTTTCTCATGTCTTAAAATATCTTTAGATGTAAAGCATACCCAATAATTTCCAAACAACCTCTAAATCACGAAACATGGAATAATTTGGTCCACAACAGTTAACTTGGTTTTCATCCACGAAATCTCACTGGAATCTTCCAATTTTGCTTGAATCAGATCATTGAACAAAATTGAAGCTCATTCTCACACAAATATAATGTCTTGAGGAACTGATAACGAAGATTGAAATATGGAAGAAGTATAACCAAAATATCCTTAAAACTACTAATCCACATTAACTTGTATTGTGAGCAAAAACTAACGATGATGAGAACAAAAATGGCCTTGATCAATATGAATCCATGGTACCATTTCTTATGCCATGACCTCATACTTTTCAATTCAACCCCATGAATCCTCTGTCTTGTCAAAAAATGTCTTCGTGGAATCCTTGAAGAAGATAAAATTTGAAGCATAGAAAGATATCCTCTAATTATCTCTCATTGACGAACATCAACAAACTCACACACAAGATGCAACACCTTAACCCACTTGTATTAGGTGCATAGTGATGACTTGAGACATGGATAGAGTAATGTTCAAAATGTCTTCGAAATGAAACAAAGCATGATCTTCCAATAGACATAGGGAAATAAACCCAAATCTTTAGACTTAACAAATAAAACCTTGCAACTTGATTTTGAGATGAAGAGAATAACCTCGTAGCTTGATAAATAAGAAATCCACAACAACCATCAATCAAAACCCTAAATTCACAATTCAATGTACCAGAAGAATCAGTCTTGTTTGATAAACACCTCAAACCAAAAGAAAACCCGAGCTTCACAACCAATGATTCTCTGAACCATGATTCAACAAAACCTGAATTGGTTAATTGAAGAGTGGATGAATGCCATGTCAAAGTCATTAAGCCTGATCAAATGATAGGCACACTTATATGAGGAGACGTCTTGATTCAAAGACCATGTATGCTAAGTCACATCCTTGCGTTCTTGACAAGAAAAACCTGTAACCTGTTGTTTATCAGAAGATAATAGCCTTGTTGCTTGAGGGAGAAGAAGTCCAAAAATGAGACTGAACCAAAACCCTAATTCCACAGCTTGCTGCCTGAATAAGAAATAATTCTTTATTGAATATGAGCGCCTTAACCACTGTGAAACCCTAGTATCGCACAACCACTGAACTTTGAACCTCAGAGCTATATTGAATGAAATGTATGCCATGTTAGTGACCTAATGAAATAGATGCAGATGAATGCAAAAGTCTAAGCCAAAAAAAGTGTAATTAGGAGGGCAAATTTTAGGGTGCAACAGCTGCCCCTATTTAATCGCCTTAGACCTGAAAGTGAGATTGGCGCCAGCCTTTCGAACCTTCAAGGTAAAAGAAGATTAAATACTAAAAGAACCCAAAAATTTACGCTCCGAAGCCAGTCAGGTATTATTATATCTTTAGTTTTCTGTATTTTCTATATTTTTTTTAGGTAAAAGGGGTTATCGGGGTTAGATGTATGCTTTAACCAGGGTTTGACACAACAAAATAACTTGGTTATCAAGGAACATCTGTTGGGATTTAGTAACAAACACATGTAAGAAAGATATCAAAAGATATATGCCTGAAGTCTGTAGCAGACATACGAAAAAAGTATCAGAGACACATATCCGAGGTTGGTAGCGGATATATAAGAAAGAGATAGAAAAGATACATATCCGTGGTCGGTATCGGATATGCCCAAAAGATATAGAAAAGATACATATTCGTGGTCGGTATCGAATACGCACAAAAGAGATAGAAAAGATACATATCCGTGGTCAGTATCGGATACACACAAAAGAGATATCAAAGATACATATCCGTGGTCGGTATCGGATATGCACAAAAGAGACATCAAAGATACATATCCGTCGTCGGTATCGGATACGCACAAAAGAGACATCAAAGATACATATCCGTGGTCGGTATCAGATACGCACAAAAGAGACATCAAAGATACATATCCGTGGTCAGTATCGGATACGTAAGAAAGAGATATCAAAGATACATATCCGTGGTCGGTATCGGATACGTAAGAAAGAGACAAACCGAAGAAAGCCCTTACAAAGATATCAAGAACACATGTCTGGGATTGGTAGCAGACATATGAAACAGGTATCAAAAATACATATCCGTGGTCGGCATCGGATACATATGAAAGAGACAGATCGAAGAAAGCTCTTACAAAGAAAACACCAATCAAAGGTGAACTTACTGAGGAAGGAGACCAAACGAATGAGACTCCTGATAAATGATACCAATCGACGATGGATTTTAACAAATGATACCAGCCTAAGTGGGGTTTTGAAAGATACCTTCCGGAGCGGGATTTTAACAAAGGATACCAGCCAAAGCGGGATTTTAAAAGATACCAGCCGAAGCGGGATTTTGAAAGATACCAGCCGAAGCGGGATTTTGAAAGATACCAGCCGAAGCGGGATTTTGAAAGATACCAGCCGAAGCGGGATTTTAAAAGATACCAGCCGAAGCGGGATTTTGAAAGATACCAGCCGAAGCGGGATTTTGAAAGATACCAGCCGAAGCGGGATTTTGAAAGATACCAGCCGAAGCGGGATTTTGAAAGATACCAGCCGAAGCGAGATTTTAAAAGATACCAGCCGAAGCGGGATTTTGAAAGATACCAGCCGAAGCGGGATTTTGAAAGATACCAGCCGAAGCGGGATTTTGAAAGATACCAGCCGAAGCGGGATTTTGAAAGATACCAGCCGAAGCGGGATTTTTAGCGAAGGATACCTGCCGAAGCGGGATTTTAACAAAGGATACCTTTGCCTAAGTTTATGGAACTTGTTTTATGCAAATAGAGGGGTCCAAGGCTCAAGGGAAGCAAGTTGACGTAAAGTTGCCTTTATCAAAATGGTATAGTTCACTTTTTGCCAAAAATGGATTAAACTCTTGTGTAAACTTCCATTGATCAGAATAATGCCTTAGACAATTGAGTTTGCATTAAATTTTTGAGTGTGGAAGGGTTTAAAGACCTGTGAGCAAGTACAAGTTAGGCTGGATAGAGTTTTCAATTTGTGTCAACATGAAACATGCCGTGGATCAAAGTGAGTTTTTGCCAAATTCAAACCTTCGATTCTCCCTAACCATAAATGATTTTGGAGAGTTCTTGGACATTTTGGAAATCTAGTAACATGATCTATAATCCATATTTGAAATGAATATTGAGATTCCAAGTGGAACTAGGTGAAAAATTTCCATGAAGATAGGTCAAAATCCTGCCTAAACTAGGGCAAAATTTCACTAAGTTAAAAGTTTCATGGACCCTTGTTCCAAAAATCATAACTTGAGATCCAAGCTTCTTTTGGGAAAACTTTGTGAATAAAAGTTATAGATTTTGTGGAGGAATACAACTTTCATGTTATAAGTTTTGTTTGAATCCAATTGCATCATGGTGAAAATGTTGGGCAAAGTTGGGAAAAAATAAGAAAATTTCATAACTTAGAAAAATTCTAAGTTATGAAAATTTTCAATCTTAAACCCTAATTTGCAAAATTAGGTTTCTTGATGAACAAGTTTCATGTTTTGACACATCTTGATGAAAAATGACCCTTGGCACTTGTTTTTGACCAAAAAGTCAAAGTTTGACTTTTCAGTGTACAATCAGATTTTGATCAGTTGACTGAAAAATTCATCTGTCAATCCAATGCATTTGAGATCTTTTGAACCTTGTTAATAGGTCAAGATGATGCCATTTAGTCCTTGAATCTATACTTGAACCCAATTTTCCACTGGCTAGATGAAAAATCAAAAATTGCCCTTATACAGTCAAAACCCTAAAAATGACCATTTTGCCCTTTTGATGATCTGATCAAATTTCTTGAGGAGTTGTGATCCAAACTTGATCAAATGGTTCATATGAGTCTATAATGTTGATGTGGATAAAAAATTATGAGGTTTGACTATAAATTGGCCACAGTTGACTTTTTCCCCAATACAACTGATTTCTAGGTCAATTGTCCAATTGACTGGGCAAAAATTTGAATCAAGGCTTGAAACTTGGTAGATGCAATCTTATAAGTCCAACATGAAGTATGAAAGTAACTTTGAGCATTGGAAGTCCAAAAATCCCTGTGCAAACTCAAACCCTAATTTCAGGTCAATAGTGCAAGGAGATGTCTTGAGCAGAGCAAACCCTAATTCTGTCTGGAGTCCAAAGAGTCTTGTGAGGGGAAATCTTGGCAAAATGAGAGGGAAAATTTCGGGGTACAACAGCTGCCCCTGTTCAATCTTCTTGAACCTGAAGAGTTAGATTGGTGAGCTTGCCTTTCGTGACTCGAAGGTAAAAGAGGATTGGACACTAGAGTGCCCGTAAATTTGCACCCGTCAAGACGTGGTTGAAGGAATGCGCTTAAAGATGCCTTTTGGTGATGATAGAATCTTGCTGGAGATGGGCTTAAAGATGCCATCCAAGAAGTATCAATCGCATAAGAGATTCCTTTGCGAGAACTCGTATACCTGTTGTTGAGGAGGACCATGTCGGGGAATGCTGGTCTCTGTCGTGGTAGAAATAGAATTTCAAGAGCTTCAGTCGTC